AATTTTTTCCCTTTTTTTTTTTTTTTTTTTTTTTTTTTGTGGTGTTGTATTTATTGTCCTTCTTCAACTCCTTCATGGGGTGTATACAAGTGCAACATTTTACACCTGTTACTGTATGCCTGGTCCTTGCTATAATCTCTCTGGTCCTTCGGAACTTATGGTGATTCTTTCATAACAGTTCAATTTATATTTGAGATTCTATTGAATGTGTTAATAAATAGCCGAATCATGAAAGCAACACATTACACATAAGATGGGTGTGTTTGTACAGGTGCACTCTTTCTTTTTCTCTTTCACCTTTTCTCGGCGGTGTGATGTAGGTTTATGTGCATTCTCAGTTTGCTTAACCCTTCATATATCACGCGGCAACTTTATGTGTTCTATTATGTTGACTTTGACCCCTATACACAACAAAAAATTGTAAAGGATCCTTTACATTCATACGATAAAATTTCAAGAATATTGAACCCCTCCAAGGGTTTGATTACATATTATGCTCCCGTTTATTTCCCATTCTTTGACCACAAAAATAAAAAATATGACTGTTATCCATCACATCAAGCCATTATATTTGACTTTCTATTTCTTGTATAGATTCAGTAACGACTATATTTTTCATTCTCATTCTTAAAAAAATAGGAATCAAATATCTAATCCATACTAAATAGTTAAAATTACGTGTTAAGACTTTTTGACAAGCAACCTTACTTCAACAAAGCACTTTTAAAAATTATTCAAATAGATTTAAAAACAGTTTTTAACTTTTCAAAAATCTTTCTAAACGAACCCGTAATAATTTAGTATTCCATCTTAAATCGAGCTTTGAGTCGAGAAATGAGCCACAAAGGCCATTAGTTTGCTTTTGAAAAAGACCATTTGAGTTTGTTGGGCCCACATAAGAAGGCCCCTTATTATTTTGCCCAGCCTTTTTCTTTGCTTGGTAGGCCCAATCAACGTAAAAGAACCCAAAGCCACCGGTGAGATTTCAATGCAAAAGTTGTTATAACTAATTTTGACTGGGCAGGCTAGATTGCATCGCTGGACCCAAAACAAAATATGGCCTGCATGTTGGACCATATATTGGGCAATCTACCAGGAATCTGACCAACTTATTCATTAAGGGCCAATTACAATCCATATTTCTCTGAGGTAATTTCAATAATAACATTAAAAATAAATTATTTTTAAATGTACTGTTCAACTTTTATTTTACAAAATCTTTTGTGTTTCATTAGTAACATAGTGTTAACTTTTTTTATAACACTTTGTATATGATAATGTAAAAAACGTGTTATAATGTTATAAAATATGTAATGTGTTATACTATCACTGTCAACACCAGCATTAACACTAATTACCGTCAATGACCAGCTTCGGCAATGCACCACATCTACTTCCACAACAATCACCCTGCTCAAAACCTAATCACCACCATCCTCACCATCAAACGAACACTAAGATAAATGCAGACACCATATAAATGAAATCTATTAAAAGCAATAATCAAATCTGGACAAGAAATTCAGAAAAATTGAAAAACAAGATTAAAATCATTATCAAGATCTGAAATTTATATCATGGTGGTGGTTTTGCGACGGTAGTATCGAGGTAGAGGAGCAGTGGGATTTTGGTCATGGTGGGAATTCAAAGAGGTAGAGAAGTTGATTAGATCATCGAGGGTGGTGGTAGTTCTACTGTATGGGTGTGGTGGTCATCGATAAACATGGTTGAAGGTGAGGTTGGGTAAGATGGTAGGAAGAATTTTATTTTATTTTCAAACAATTTGAATTAACATAGTATTTTAGAACTAAAATTAATCAACAGTAAAATTGAACTTTAAGTAAAGTAATTTAGCAATCCAAATGAGTTTGAATTTGATGATCAGTGAATTTAGAGTTCAACACAATACAGTTAGTTACATATTTCCAAACTTCAAGAAAAGAAAATAAAAAAATGGACCATTTTCAAGATAAGTCTAACCAACCGATTTTTCAAGCACAAACTATGAATTATGACCTATACTTGATAATCGTTACCCTCTTGTCACATTTTCAAAGAAGAAAATTGAAAATCTAGAAATGGGTTCAAATTATCAATTTTTAGAGTATATTGAGGTCAAAACTAACTCGAAGAAATTCTTTTAAGTAATGAATGCATTACAGTAGTTTTCCACATTATTTTCATTGTCAACAAAATTGAAAATATTTTGACTGCTAATGCACATGGTGGAAGAAAAATGAGGAAGATCCTTTTCTTCTACTTTCAACTACTTCCATTTACATTCCAAAATCCAAAGAGCGAATCTTATTTTTGTTGAATATTGTAAATATTCAAATGAAAATTATTATTGACTAAAGATTTATTATGTTTAATTATGAACTAAATCATAGTGGTTGAGAAAAATTGATTTGTTTTGAAGTGCATTTTTCTACTTCATGTAGGATCTTGTAAAGATCGACGTTAAGTCAAAAAATTTGAGAGTATAACAAACTATTAAGCCCTTGTAGGTCGTTAAAAACTTGAAATCCATTAAATCGATCCATGGGGGAACGATGATATAGTGCAGGTTTGTAGTGCCTTTCAAGAGTAAAATGCTTCTTATGTTCTAATCGTCCACACCTCACCAAAATAATACACTGGATGTTATTGCGAGTCTCTCGTTCCATCGAATATTAGAATTTTGCAATTACTTAGATTGGCATACTAGCGAAACCCCGAGGACCAATATGTCATTACAATTCCTCA